AACTCAAGACTCACAAAACTGCTTCCCATTGTCCCTGCTTTCAGTTACCAGGTTTCCAAACCCAAAGGCTAGGTGAGTTCCTACTGTCTGCTGGATTCTTCCAGAAATGTATCTTCTATCCTCTTTTCTCTATGTTTTACATGGGCCACCTTTTGCACAGCGGCCCACACCTCTAATTTTCCTTTTCTATCTCTTGTTAATGGTACCACTATTGGATCAGATTCTGTGGAAGTGTCCTTTATATCTAAATGCCTGCTCTGGGAACTAACAATGCCCTGTATGATATAACAGCCTAAACAGGACACAGCCAACATGCTAACTCTTGCAATCAGCTAGTAAATCATGATACTGGGTTGCTATATGGTGATGGGATGAAATGTCCATGGTCCCACACAGCAGCAGAGTGACCCGCCATCACTGGTAGAGAAACAGCCACTCTCACAAAGATAACAGGAGGACTGGGGTCCCTAGGTGTGACACTTTATGGGTTTGTGAAGCAGGCAGAGCAGATCCATGTGCAAAGCGGTCGATATGTTTCATCTTTTCTAGAAGGTGTTGCACGAGAGAGGGCCCAGTGGTAGGCAGATTCTGAGAGCTGTGAGTTCTGTCCTTGTTCTGGGTGGTGCTCACTCAGGCATGCACACATGTGAGTCTCCATACAGCTGTGCATGGCTTACACACATGACTATGGTAGGTACATCAATATACAGTTAACGTCTCCCTTCAAGGAACTCAGGAGGTCACTGGGTTTCCTTTCAGGGGCAGCTTTGCGCCACACATTACAGTGGTCTTGTGGTTAGCCAGCCAGCTTATAATGAGTGTGTGGGTTGACGCTAACACAGAACCATTATGAACAGAACTGTGAGGCATGTCTCTGAGAGGACCCTCTGTAAGAAGGGCCTCTGAACAAGAAGTAAGCAGAGCATTTCCAACTTGAGTGATGCCACATGCTCTGCAGTGGGGACTGTCCTGTTGATGCCCCACAGTTGTATGTGAGTAGAGAGCTCTCCCCAGCACCAGTTCCAGTATGTGGATGTCCTTGGCTTTATCATGGGGCTTGCATTCTTACTCCTTTCCCAGTTTTCACAAAAGACAAAAACAAAACAGTGGGCCATCACCTTCCCCTTTCATAGGCCAGAGACCCACATTCTTTTGGTAAATTCTTTGTCTGAGGTTCTGCAGCAGTTTTATCTTTGGACTCTACTCACGGTGCTCGCACTGTGGGTTACCCAGCCCAGTCCCCTTTCTACTTGAGGCTTGAGTCTACTTCTTATCTTAGTTTTATCTTGTACTTAGAAAGTCCTTTCTCACTCTGCCATCCTAAGAAAAGGCAGGCCTTTGCTTCCTCTTGCACTTGGATGGCTTCGTCTTTGTCTTGTGTTCATATTTGTTGATTTAAGTGAAGGTGCTTGCGTAACTTCTTGGCATAGCTCAGGAACTGTGGTCTCCCAGGCAGCGGGCAGGGTTCTCGCATTCAGAGAATAAAGGAGCAAGCCAAGGAAGCATTGTTAGGGTAGACTTGTACCTGCTGCAGAGGCCACAGCGCAGGTGTTGGCCTCTATGGGGAAGAGGGTGGTGCCACCATAAGGGGCACCCTGCGTTGTGAATGACACTCCCTGCCTGTTCCTGTGCCTCTTGGCTGTCTTCCTGGCTGTGCACGCAACTGTTCTGGCCACTGGAGCCCTCCCTTTCTAGTTCTCACCTTCTCTCCCTTCCCCAGCATGGTGGAGCACCTTCTGTTTTGTGTGTACTGTGCTGACATTCCTGTATAAGTTGGACTGTGACAGCCCCTCTCCCATGAGGCCGGTGGAGAAGTGTGGGGGCCTATGTGTGGGCCAGCAGGCCCGTGTGTCTGGATACAGGGAGGGGCTGGAGTCTGGAGCTCAGCAAGCAGGTGATGACAAAATTAGGGTACCACTGTTACTTTAACACCACACACTTCCATCACTACAAGCCACACCCATGTGTTCTCTGGTGGTTGGAGAACAGAGTCCATTCTGGGTCTCACAGGTAGAAGGCAGTCTGACCAGGGCAGCTCCTTTTGTAGGTTGGGGGGAGGGGCTTCTTCCCTGCCTCTCTCAGCTCAGGGAGGCCACCTGCTGTCCTCAGGTTGGGACCCCTCCATTTCCATCACAGAGTTCAGTGTCTCCATCAAGGCAGTGCCTCGTTGTTAATTTTTAAAAACAGGACCTTGCTGTGTCACTCACACTAGCCTTAAATTCTCAGCAATCCTCCTGCCTCAGCCTCCCACATGCTGAGATGGCAGATGTATGCCACCATACCCAGTTTGACTAATGTTTTCTTAGTGGATGTGAGTCTCTGGCAGAGCTGGTTCACACATATGCAGAGGAATCCTGACCACACTCATTGCGGTGTCAGAGGGCCTGGGCCTCTGAGCTAAGCCTGGCACTGTCTTAAGGACCCTAGTTTCTGAAAGGAACCCTGCTGTCCCTTCATCACCTATGTTTGGGGTTTCCTTTTTGTTTGTTTTGTTTTGCTTTGCTTATTTAAATTAGAAACAATCTTGTTTTACATGTCAATCCCAGTTCCCTCTCTCTCCCCTCCTTCCCTGCTCCCCACCGGCCCCCTATCCCATCCCCTTTCTGCTCCCCAGGGTGGGTGAGTCCTTCCATGGGGGATCTTCAAAGTCTGTCATATCATGTGGAGCAGAGCCTAGGCCCTCCCCCGTGTGTCTGTTTGGGGTTTCTTGATGCCCTGAAATGCAGGTCTTCCTTCTCCTTTTCCTCAAGAGCCTATTGCAGTTCTGCAATGTCCTTCTGTGCCATGTCCTACTACTCAGAGGAAGAAACTGAGGCAGGGGTCTGTTTTAACAAGTATGTAGGAGGAATTCCTGTGATACCAGCCCCTAGAACAGGATAGAGATCCTGGGATCCTGGTGACATGGATAGGACCTCCCCCCTGCACTGGACAGACAGGGAGGCAGGGAGGCTGCACCGTGCTGCCAAAATGCTCCCTCTGCCCTGAGCTCCAGGCTGTCTTTTGAGCCTGTCATCCATGGGAGATCACATTTGTCCTTTGTAGGTCTCTGTTAGGCTCAGTTCCAGCCTGAGCCTGCTGCTGGGGAAGCTTCTCTGAGAAGCCTAGTGTCCTGGACTGTTGCCTCAGGGACCCACATGGGAGCAGCAGGCTGTTTGCTGCAGACAAACAGTGCTCTGGGGTCACAGAGGAGGCAAAGAGGCAGGGGAGTCAACTAGTATGGGACTCTATTGTATGAAATCCACAGAGGTTAAATTAACCCTCAAAGAATACGAGGCTGTGGCTGCAAAGACTGCAGTGGGTGGGCCAGTCACCAAAGCCAGGCCAAGAAAGATGGGCGTATCCCAAAAGCAGCCAGGATTTGAGTGTCTCCAAGCCAGAGAGAGGGAGGGATAGAGAGAGGGAAGGAGAGAGGGAAGGAGAGAGAAAGAGACAGGTTTCAGTGTCACAGGACACTGATTTTGTAAAGTGAGAGGTATAACCAGAGGTAGAGATGCAGGTGTATTCACACCCAGGGCAGTCTCCAATGCATAGGGAGCAAGAATGAGGGAGTGAGGGCTGGATGGAGACTAGAGCCTAATGGTCCAGTGTTGCATTTGCAGTGAGCTCATTATTGGTGTGGGGACATTTGGGGAACCACAGAACCTGGCGAGGAGCCATGTCCTCACTGCCATACTCTGATTATTGGCATCAGGAGCAGAATCCCACGAGGTGGACGTGTTTGGCGGTTCCTATGGACAAATGGGCCACTGGGAGCTAACTTGCATTTGAGGTGTTGTGTTGGTGAGAAGGGAAGAGGAACTTGGACTCCATCTCAGCTAAAGGAAGTTGTTAGCACCTGTCTCCCTTCCGCCTTCCCAGTTCCTGGTGATGGCTTGAGAAGGAAAAGATGCTATCATGTCCCAATGTCAGAATTCTGAGAAGAGCATTGCAGATGTCTTGATGTGTCCTGGCGCTCAGATCCCTCTGTTGTCACAATGTCCCAGGCCCCCGGGTGTTCGATTGCCTGGGGCTCTAGGCAAAGGTCCTCAGGCCTCTAGGACCTAACAGTGGCCTCCACCCCTTTCCTTGAATTATTTACAAAACCTCACAGAACTAGAGTGTGATACCACAGATCGCCACAGGAGGCATTCTTTACAGTTTGCCACAGTGAGGGAGGGTCCAGGTTTTGAACATGTAAACCAGCACCCTGATCTGTCAGCCTAATCCTATTAAAGAAGTTTGTTTCGTGCAACCGGACAGGTCACTCAGATGTCAAAGTGCTTTGATACACAAACATGAGGACCTGAGTTCAGATCCCCAGTGTTCACATAGACATGAGTGTGGTGGCACACATCTGCAATACAACTGTAACCCAACCCAGGGCACAGGTGTGCATTTTGAACCAAGTGGAGCCTCAGAGCTCACCAGCCAGTCTAGACAATAGGTGAGTTCAAGGTTCAGTGAGATCCTGACTCAAAAAAAAAAAAAAAAAAGGAGTGAATGCAATGATAGAAAATACAAAGTATTGGCCACATATATGTGCATAATACACACATCACATACATGCACCACATACACCACACACATACTATATATACACACTAGACTATAGTAATAATAAAAGAAAAAGGTTATTTCTAAACAGATGTGTCTATAATGGCCGATGACTATAAAGAAGCCCTGAATGTCCCTAGCAGGAGGGATAGGAGCAGAACCTATGCATGACCCTGTGCAGAGAGCAGTGAGGAACCTTGCATACTGTCACTAGCATGGCGAGAAAGCACAGTCAGAGGGTGCTGGACACATGACCGTTTCCGTAGATTTCACACTGAAAAAAAACCAATGTGGGTGGTTGGTGAGTGAGCTTGGGGACTGATGCCATCTGTCTCAAGATGTGGACGAGGATCGTGTGAATGAGTAGGCGTGCATACCTCGGGTATGTACACATGTGTGTCCTGCTTTAACCAGAGACCTCACGGTGAAATGTCCCGTGCTCACCAGCCACACTGCTCTCTCCACAGATTGATGACCAGTGCGAGCTGAAAGCCATCGAAAGAGAAAAGAGTGTCACGGCTCTGCCACCCAGGGAAGCGTGTAAATGCAGCAAAGAGGATTTGGCCAGTGCCTTCCTTGTAAGAATTGTGTTTGTATCTGTGTTTATTACTTTTCTTCTTGTCTTGATAACAGTGCTGCTCAAATGCCACTTAAGGGAGGGTCTTTCTGGCTTCTAGTTCAAGGTGCAGTCTGTCATAGCAGGAAAGTCCTGGTGACAGGAGCATGAGGCAGTTGTCACCTGCATCTGCAGTATGGAAGCAGAGAGAGACGCATATTGGTGTTCAGTTAGCCCCCACCCCACTCATGGGATGGGTCTCATCTCAATAAAACCGCTCTGGAAATGCCCTCATAGACACATCCAGAAGTATTTAGCGGAATTCTAACTTCTGTCACATTCATGAGATGATCCATCGCATTGTGAGGTAGTTTGTGGATTAAGAGAAAGTACCACGAAGCTGTTAATGTAGAATGGCTCGGATTTCCACACAGAATCTCAGCAGTGCTGCTGTCCCTAGAGACAGTCCCTGTGGTCCCTGCTAGAGGCCAAGCATCTTCCACCCATGGTTCCTTTGGCAGGCAAAGCGATGAGAATTGGAGTGAGTGAGTGACCAGCATGCTTAGGAAGCCACATGACCCAGGCTTCTTCAGGTTTTTGTCTTCATGGCTCAAACTTTTCGCCGTGCCTGCCTCTCACTTTCCATTTTTTATAACATGGAGATGCCAATTATGGACATCAAACTCTCATGAGTGCCTGAGAGAATTAGAATTTGTGAGCATCACAGGAGAAAAGCCAGCCCTGGCCTAGGAGTTTGCCCTCTGGGGCCACAGGATGGAACCAGCATTATACCATTAGTTTATGTTACTCAGAACACCAGCAGAATTTATTATGTGTGTGTGTGTGTGTGTATGTGCATGCATGTGTGTACATGTACATATGTGTGTGGGTATGTGTGCGCTGGTATGTTGTATGCATGTTCATGTGCACATGTATGCATGTGTATGTGTATACAGACATGTGTGTGCATGCATATATTATTACATGGATATATGTGTATGTACGTGGATGTTGGGGTGTATGTGTGTACATATGTGTGCACATGCATGTGTTTACATGAGTATGCATGTGAGCTATGTGTGCCTAGGTGCGTTGTAGGCATGTGCATATACATATGTGTACATGTACATGTGTATGCATGCAGCATATATATGTCACGTGGGCATGTGCGTGTCTGCATGGGTATAGGGGTATATGTGTGCACATGTGTGAACATGGGTATGTACATACTCATAGCTCATCTTGCTTTTGGAAAAGGAAGTCCAGCAGGGAAAGGGCACATGGTACCATGACAGGTCTTAAGAATGACCTAAGAGTCCATCTCAGTCCTGCTTCTTGGTGAGAAGGGGAAGAAGGTCTTTTTCTCCAGCTAGAAAATGAGCTCAGCCGTCCTTTCCTACTGAAAACACCTGGCATCCACCCTAGCTTCCCTCTCACCCCGGAAGCCCTGTGAAGCATTCTCACTAAGTTCCAAATGAGCACAAAGCTCCCTGACATGATGACTGACACAAATTGGCTATGCCTAATGATTTTGTTAACACTGAAGGCCTGTGCTAGCATCTGTCATGGGGCATATGATACAGTTAATTCAGCCACTCCAATCTCCCAAAGAATGCCTGTTTTGTTTTTAAAATGTAATTTGATGGTAATAAGATATATAACATAAGTCATTCGGATTTGTTGTTTGGGTTTTGTTTTGGGCTGTTTGTTTGTTTTAAGACAAGATCTTGGTATGTAACCCAGGCTAGCTTTGAGCTTCACAACCCTGCCTCAGCTTCCCAAGTATGGCAGTCACAGGTATACCCACTATTCCTGGCTGTCTTAACCATTTATGTTTTGGTGTCTGAATCAGTGTCTCATGTAGCCCAGGCTGCCTCAAACTCACCCTGTAACTGAATCTCTCCTTGAACTTCTGGTCTTCCTGCCTCAGCCTCCAAAATATTTGGATTATAGGTGTGTGTCACCAGCCCAGGGTTTTGGGTTTTTTTTTTTGTTTTGTTTTGTTTTTTGTTGTTGTTTTTAGCTTTTTAAGTGAATGCTTTGTTAAGAACGGTTGCCACTTTTTGCCAATGGCACCATTATTCATCTCTGGAATTCTGCCCATCTTGCAAACGTGGGCTCTGTCCTCACTGAACAGCAGCCTCCACCTCCCTCCTTCAGGCCTCACAGCTCTGCTTACACCCTGCCTGTACGAGCTGTATAGCCCTCTCTTAGGGATAGGTTTATCCCCCTTAGTTCTGCTCTCAAGGTCCACTCATTAACAAATGTAGCAACAAAATGATTTTTCTTTCTGAAGCTATGTAGCCCTGTCATGTGTCTACATGACATGGCTTATCCATTCACCTCAACAGATATGAACTGCTTCCTCCCATTGATAGTTGAGACCGATGCTGCACCCAGTGTGGAGCTGTAAGCGCCTCAATGTGTCCACTTTCAATGCCTTTGGCCTGTACAGCCAAAATGGAATGGCTGGGTCATGTGGTAATTTTGTTTAATGTTTTGAAATGCTGCTAAGTAGCAGCTACATCCAAGCTTCTCTCCCCATTCCGTGTGTGTGTGTGTGTGTGTGTGTGTGTGTGTGTGTGTGTGTGTGTGTGTATACAAGAGCACAGGCAAGCATGCAGAGGCTAGACATCTTATGCTTTGAGACGGGCTCTCTCCCTGACCTGAGGTTCACTGATTGTCCTCACCTGGCTGGCTGTTGAGCCCCAGGGACCTTTCTGTCTCTCCCCAGTGCTGAGATTGCAATCAACATAACCACACTGAGCTTTTATGAGTGGGTTCTAGGACTGACCTAGGTCCTCATGCTTACATGTCAAGCATTGACTGACTCATCTCCCTAGCTGCCAATGCTTTCCTTTTTCCTTTTCCTTTTTTCTTTCTTTATTTTGGTTTTTTTCAAAACAGGGTTTCTTGGGCCAGGCGTTGGTGGTGCACACCTTTAATCCCAGCACTCGGGAGGCAGAGGCAGGAGGATCTCTGTGAGTTCGAGGCCAGCCTGGTCTCCAGAGCGAGTGCCAGGATAGGCTCCAAAGCTACACAGAGAAACCCTGTCTCGAAAAACCAAACAAACAAACAAACAAAAAACAAAAGCAGGTTTTCTCTGTGTAGCCATGGCTGTCCTTTAACTTGCTCTGTAGACCAGGCTGGCCTCCAATTGCCTCCACATGCCTCCGCCTCCCAAGTGCTGGGCTTAAAGGTATCTCCCCCACTGCCCTATTTCTGCCTTTCTACTCTCCCATCTCCAGTTCCATTTACTGACACTGTGGCTCAAGGCCATTGTGGGTTGACCTATGGGCTTATTGGGAAAGAGTAAGGCTTTGTCCTCCCTCTCTGTCCCAGTATCTCTGAGCCAATACCTTCTCCGTAGATGAGCCTGTTTTCCTAGTCCTCATTGCTCTCACCCAGTACTTGTGATTTGTTTCTTTGGTCCTTGCTGGGCTTGGTGGTGTGCTCACCCTACTCCCAATATCTCTTTTTAGGTGGACCTGGAGAGTGGCCTGTCAGAGATGGCAGTGGCCCAGCGCAGGTTGGTCCATGGCTGGAATGAGTTTGTCACTGGTAACGTTGAGCCTGTGTGGAAGAAATACCTGGATCAGGTAGGGGCAGGACGCCCTTCTCTGTATTCGCTGGGGTACTAGCCAGGAAGGGCGGGCCAAGCAGTCATTCTTTAAATATTGATCCTGGGTGTCCTCGGACAGGTCCCACCTGGGGTGTGGGGTGAATGAGCTTTGCAATAAACAGTCCTGACATTTTGGATGCTCTGAGCCCCCAGCAGGAACCCTACATAGGTGACTAAAGATATAGGTAGCCATGACCTTGACTAGCAGTGATGGGCACTAGGGATGCTTGCCACAGGCCAGGTGCCATGTTGAATGGTAAGTAAATAAGTAGTGTCACTTTATTTGATCATCCGCCTAAAGCCATTTGCAAAGGGAGAGAGTGTGGTAGAGAAGCAGGAACTCTTTGCTTGGCAAAGTCTTTGCATGGCACATAGCTTTGCCAGAGGAAGCAGAGAGAGACATGGATGCCCTGGCAAACAAGCATTTCAGAAGGCCAAGGAAGAAACACCTGGGTAGAGTGTGCTTCAAGAGATTATAAAAGTGAAGTTACTGTCGGGCTGGGGAAACAGCTCAGTCAGTAGAGTGTTTTTGCTGAATGAGCACAAAGACCTGAGTTTTGCTTCTAGAATCTACTTTTTAAAAGCTGAGTTTGGCGGTGTGCAGTTGAAATCCCAGTACCAGAGAAGTGGGGACAGGTGGATCCAGCCATACTAGCCTGCTTGGTGAGTTCCAGACTAGTAAAAGACACTGTCTCAAAAAGTAAGGTGGACAAACCCAAGGAACAAACCAAGGTTGACCCCTTGCTACACACACACATACACACACACACACACACACACACACACACAAGTGTGCACATTTGCACACTTTCCTGTGGTTCTGAATTTCAAATTTACCCACTCATCTTGGGTACAGGAGTCCAAAGTCACCCAGAAGTAGGCTGTGATGCAGCCTGCACCTAAGCACCTGCCTATCTCAGCTGCTGAGCTTGGTGCTGGCCTGGTGCTGATGGGTGGTCTACAAGTCAAATGTCTAGCCACCATTAGGGAAAGGGGAATGGCCATGGCTGCCAGTTCTGGTCTAGAAGTTTGGCTGTGACTGGTCAGAGATCTCTGGCATCCAGGTAGATAGTTAATCTCCCTCCCTTTCTCACTCCAGTCCAGACCTCCTCTCTTCCTGTTTGTAGACTACCAGGCTGCCCTCTGATTGGTTCTATATTTAAAGGTTTCTTGATTGATTGGTTCAAGGACCAAGCATACAGTTCAGGTAGCATCCTCACCTCACCTTATGGCTTACTCCCTGATCATCACTCAGTTCTCAGTGCCCTGCATTGGCTGTTTAGCACCAAAACTGACTCATAAGCCCAGAAGGTTCCTGAAATTCCATTGCTCAGGCAGTGGAGGCTCCTGAACAATAAGGCCTAAGAATGGAGGCTTAGACCAGCTGAGGTCAGACAGCTCTGTCCCATTGGCTTTCTGCTAGGTGCCTGTCCTGTCTTCATTTCTTCTGGGGCCCTCCTCCAAGCTCTGCCCTGCCTAAGCTACTTGGAGACTGCTTGCACACTGGAGGCTCCCTGCAGCACTAGTCAGAACCCCTTGGCAGTGGGGGAGCCCTCTTATCTGCCTCCTCCTGTGACTGGTGGGCTGACTTTGCTTTGGGTGTCAGATCCCCTTAAATAGCTTGTGAAGGTCTGTGGAACCTGGTGGGGTCTGGAGAGGAAACATTGGTATCCTGTGGCATTGCTCTTGGGGAGAAGGCTGCAGCCTTCTGGATGAATCTATCTGTACTTTGAAGTGTAGTTCTTGGGCTTTGAGAGGAGTAGGCCCCTTTTCCTCCCCAGGAGACTCCACCCCACTCCATGTGTCTCAGATCCAAGTGCTAGAGCTTGCAAGCACCCCACTGTAGAATTCTCTCCAGAAGACCCACCCATTCCTTTCCCTTCCCATCCCCCTTCTCTGTAGCCCTGGCAAGGAGGATGAGAAACTTCCTGCTAGGTCAAGAGCCATCCCTGGAGCTGCATAGTCACCGTTTCTCCCTTCCACCATTACCAAGTATCACTGTATCAGCCTGGTTCCATGGCCAGTGGACACTTATTAAGCCCTGGGCACGAGACTCTCATTGCCAGGTGCAATTGGGCTTGGAGACTCAGACATGTAATCCCAGCACTCAGAGGCAGAGGATCACTGTGAGTTCTGGGTTAGCCTGTGCTACATATTGAGACACTGACCCAGAAAAATTAAAATAACCAGGCATGTTATGTGTGAATGCCTGTGACCCCAGCACTTGGAACATGAAAAGAACCAAGAGTTCAAGCCCATCCTCGACCATGTAATCAATTTGAAGTGCCCCTATCTCAAAAACCAAACTACAAGAGAAAGAGGGGAGGGAGTGAGGGAAGTGGAGAGGAGAAAAAGCAAGACAGCACGCCTGCACCCTGGGAAACAGAGGCTGTGAGAAGTCAGAGATGGCTCCAGGTTGTGTGTGAGTCAGTGGTGGAGACAGGCAGGAAAAAACAGATTTCTGAGTTCTTGTCCACCACACCATACCACTAGACCCTATGCTGGGGCATGAACAGACTGCTGCATCCAGGACAAGCAGGGTCTGTGGCATCAGGACAGTCACCTCCCAACTGTCAAGTAGGGGTGGGTTGGTAGAATCAAAGGCAAACCATAACCCAAAAGCAAAATGTCTTTGTGCCTCCCGATGTTGAAGAGTTGAGACTTGCTAGAGCCAACTCTGGGCTGCCACTGAGCCACCCCAACCCACTGGATCCTTCCACAGAGAATAAACACATGGCAGCTCTAGGGGTAAGGCTGGGGTTCATCCCTTCACATGTCACACCGACGCACCCTAACCCTAACCCTAACCCTAACCCTAACCCTAACCCTAACCCTTCTCTCAAGCTGTGGGACCCATGCACTGAGCCATATTTCCTCTTTCACCTCGGCCATTGAGAAGCTCAGAGGTCAGGCATGCCTGTTGATCCCTCAGGACTCTCCCTGGTCTCCTTGGTCCTGCTCTTTGATCTTGTTTCTGTGTTTATACTTCTTTTTGATTCTCTGCAACATGAGCCGTCATGATATTAGGGGTGACAGACAGCAGAAATAGGAAGTTCTTGAAGAAATTTCTGGGGCATCTGACCCTATCTGACACATGTACACATGTGGGGGCTAGAGGTCTACCTAAGAGGAACATCACTAGAATCGCCAGAGATTATCACAGGAGCAGCGTGATTGTAGCACACAGGGTTGGGCATCTGTTGTGGCAAGAGAGGAGCACTTGGTGATGGCAGCCAGGATGGGCATCCACTGGGTATTCCAAGGAAACTCTTGAGGGGATGAGGTGTGGCCAGGCAAGAAAAAGAACTCAGAGTCAGGGTCAGGCCTGGATGGCGCAGTGTCAGGAGCAGCCCAGAAGGCTGTCAACAGTGGACTTCCTACAGAAGGGGAATACCAGATTGAACAGTCCCTCTTCCCAAACCCTTAACCACTGTAGGGAGGATGGAAGCCGAGGCTCACATGAAGGTCTGAGCTGCCCATCAGCTGCAGGTAGGAGCCTGTGCTGGCCTTTGTGAAATCAGATCTGCCCTTTTGTTCATCTTCCAGTTCAGGAACCCCCTGATCCTGCTGCTGCTGGGCTCAGCCGTGGTGAGTGTCCTCACCAAGGAATATGAGGACGCAATCAGCATCGCCCTGGTGAGTGGACTGGTGGCCGCAGCACCTGGGCAGGGATGCCCAGGGATGCCTGTGGCTCTGCAGCCAGTTGTTTTTCAAAACTTACTATGGTTTGTGTACCTGTGTGCGCATGTGGGAGCCCATGTGTACACACATGCAGAGGCTAGAATCAACCTGAACTGTCATTTCTCAGGAGCCATTCATCTTGTTTTCGGACACAGGGTCTCTCACTGGCTCAGAGCTCACCATGTAGACTAGGCTGGCTGGCCGGTGAGCCCCGGGACCCACCTGTCTCTGCCTCCCCAGCACTATGCCTGGCTTTTTACTGGGGTTCTGGGATGCAAACTAAGGGCTTCAGACTCACAGGCAAGCATGATGCCAACTGAGCCCTCTCCCTAGCCCTGTGGCCAGTTAGTGTACAAGGAAAAGGGTGGGAGTTTGTTGTGAACAAAGAAAGGACATATTAAAAACAAGCAAATCCACCACTTGCCCCTTTGCCAGCACTGGGGGGTCTTTGTGGCATAGGCAGCCCCAATATGAAGCAGGCTGTTTGGGGCAGACTGCTTTACCATCGTTTCCCCTCCCTATGGAATCTGAGTGTATTATAAAATTCAGTCACGCCCTCCCTATTAGTTACTTTTCTCTCTGCTGCAATCAGAGAGAAAAGGCTTTGAGAGGGATCAGTTCATCAGGTGGTGAAGGCACGGCTGTGAGAGCAGGGCACGGCTGTGAGAGCAGGGCACGGCTGTGAGAGCAGGGCACGGCTGTGAGAGCAGGGCACGGCTGTGAGAGCAGGGCACGGCTGTGAGAGCAGGGCACGGCTGTGAGAGCAGGGCACGGCTGTGAGAGCAGGGCACGGCTGTGAGAGCAGGGCACGGCTGTGAGAGCAGGGCACGGCTGTGAGAGCAGGGCACGGCTGTGAGAGCAGGGCACGGCTGTGAGAGCAGGGCATGGCTGTGAGAGCAGGACATGGCTGTGAGAGCAGGGCACGGCTGTGAGGGCAGGGCACGGCTGTGAGAGCAGGGCACGGCTGTGGGAGCAGGGCACGGCTGTGGGAGCAGGACATGGCTGTGGGAGCAGGACACGGCTGTGGGAGCAGGGCATGGCTGTGAGAGCAGTGCATGGCTGTGGGAGCAGGACACGGCTGTGGGAGCAGGGCACGGCTGTGAGAGCAGGACATGGCTGTGGGAGCAGGACACGGCTGTGGGAGCAGGGCATGGCTGTGAGAGCAGTGCATGGCTGTGGGAGCAGGACACGGCTGTGGGAGCAGGACAGGTGGGGGGGCAGGGCAGTGCTGTGAGAGCAGGGCACGGCTGTGGGAGCAGGGCACGGCTGTGGGAGCAGGGCATGGCTGTGGGAGCAGGGCATGGCTGTGGGAGCAGGGCATGGCTGTGGGAGCAGGGCATGGCCATGGGAGCAGTGTATGTTTGTAGCTGCGGAGGAGCGAGGCAGCCTGCTCATATCAGGCAGATCAAGAAGCAGGACCACAATGTAAACCTCCACTCTCCCCCAGCCACCCATTCCCTCAAGCTAAGCCCCCACCTGCCAAAGGTTTCACAGCTTCTCGGAACAGCACCACTCTCTGGGGACCAAGTATTTAAGCCCATGAGCCTATGACAGGTGTCTCACATCCAAGCCACAACACCCTTAACCCATCATTACCTAGAGGTGGCTTCACCTTGTTTGTTTGTTTGTTTTTGTTTGTCTGTTTGTTTTGTTTTGTTTTTTAATTTTACTTTATGTGCATTGGTGTGAAATTGTCAGGCCTCCTGGAACTGGAGTTAGAGATAGTTATGAACTGCCATGTAGGTTCTGGGAATTGAACCAGGGGCCTCTGGAAGAGCAGCCAGTGCTCTTAACTGCTGAGCCATCTCTCCAGCGCCCCCCCCCCCAGTTTGTCTGTTTTTTGAGACAGGCTTTCTCTGTGGCTTTGGAGGCTGTCCTGGAGCTAGCTCTTGTAGACCAGTCTGGTCTCGAACTCATAGAGATTCACCTGCCTCTGCCTCCCAAATGCTGAGATTAAAGGCGTGCGCCACCAACATCCAGCGACTTCACCTTTTAATTTTTTCTCATTTGAGTGAGATATACATTAAAACTGATCATTTTAGTCAGGCGTGATGGTGCAGGCCTTTAATATCAGCACTCTAGGCAGAGGCAGGTGGATCTCTGTGAGTTTGAGGCAAACTGGGTCTACACAGCAAGTTCCAGGACGGCCTGAGCTACAATAGAGACTGCTCAAAAGAAAAAATTGATGGTTTTAAAGTGAAAACTTCAGTAGGATTTTGCACATTTGTTTGATCACCTCTGTCTGGTTCAAAAGCACTTTCATTGCCCTAAAAGAAACCCCATGCCATTGACAGTCATTTGTATCCCCACCCCCATCCCAACGCTCCACCCCTGTGCAGCCCTGATGGCCTCCACTACTCACTTCTCTCTGGGTTTAATCACTTCTGTGTCTGACCCTGCAGATGATTTGGACCACTCTCAGTTCACTTGTTTATATCCATGGTCCACCCCACACATGGAGTTCAGCATTTTCTGCTTCTCTCTGGACCCTGGGGGCAGAGCCGCACCTACAGGTGGAGGAGAGGCCCCGAGCTGAAGGGAGAAAATGGCAGGCTATAAGGGAACATGTCTGTGTCCCATGATGTCATGATGAAAGTGTCTGCAAAGAAATCCAGAGGGGCTCCCCAGTGTGGCAGCCCTGGGGAGTGAGATTTGGTGATTTTGGTGATATTGGACGGGGGACACTTGGCTACTTTCTGAGTTTCTGTACAGAGCGGCTGTTTTGCAAAGAGAACTGGCAATGTGTTCTGTTCTGTTGGTGCTGCACCTCATGCATGCAGGACAAGTGCCCTGCCCCTAAGCCATGTTCCTGGCATGCACTGGGGGATCCTAGTCAGGGACTCCAGCCCTGAGAGCCCCCCACCCCCCCCCACACACACGTGTAGTCCTGTTTTTATAGGTTGAGATATGGCCTAACTGAGTTGTCCAGGCAGGCCTCCTGCCTCAGCCTCCTGAGCAGCTTGGATCACAGGCCTGCACCTCTGGGCTTGGAGTGCAGTGTACTTTCAGAGCCCCTGTGCTCCAGTAGTTGGCTCTGGCCTCACTCTCACTGGAAGTCATTCTCACATCCTCCCTTCCCGGCACCCTGTCTTCCAGGCTGTGCTCATCGTGGTGACTGTTGGCTTCATCCAGGTGTGTACATCCTAAGATCCCATCTGGGTGGGGTAACCGGGACACGATGGACACTTGTCTTGTCAGGGTTCCCACCTTTGAACAGCACATCTCATGTGCTTCCTGCCAGGAATACAGGTCGGAGAAATCCCTGGAAGAGCTGACCAAGCTGGTGCCTCCAGAATGCAACTGGTAAGTCGGGGCCTCTGTGAGCCTGTGTTCCACGGAAGGAACCGATGGATACACTGGTGAACTTGACCAATGCTTGGCTAGCGCTGTCTCCTTCATGGTGTGACACGGGGAGGGTTATCTCAGACTCACTGCAGGTGACAAGATCTGGTGGTGGCTCACTGTGTGATCATAGAAAGGAGGCTCCATCTCTGAGGCCTCTGCTCTGGCAGCAGGGTCTAACTTGGGGTGTGTGACTTAGGGCTGCAGGTGGAAGGGAACAGCCTGGAAAATAAAGCAGAAACCTAAGTTTTGCTTGAAGATGGGGGCCGGGGTGCCTGTGTTTTCAAAAAGAGGTTAAACCTGGGGCAGCAACAGGCCCAGCCGCAGAGCATGGTGTGGCCGTGGCAGGACTGTATGTGGAGAGATATCTTTGTTACTATTCTATTGCTGTGAAGAGACTCGGTAGAGTTTTTGGGGTATGCAGTTTCAGAGGGCGGGCCCATAATCATGATGGCGGGGAGCATGGCGGCAGGCAGGCGTGGCGTGGCGCTGGAGCACTAGGTGGGAGCTTACATGCTGAGACAACAACCATGAGGCAGAAGAGGAGAGAGCCAAGTGGGGTGGTATGGGCTTTTGGAATCCCCCCACCCCTGAGTGACACACTTCCTCCAAGACCACACTTCCTAAGCCTTCCCAAGCAGATCTGTAAACTGGGACCAAGCATTCAAACATATGAAACTATGGGGGCCATTCTCCTTCAAATTACCACAAGGGTGCTCTCTGATTGGCTCAGCAGCTCCGGGCAGGTGACAACCTCTTGCCAGCCCACAGGTTCTTCCTTTGACATTTACTGTCCCCAGTTCCCATTGATGTTTAAAACAGGAAATAACAAAAGCATCCATTTGTCCTTTATAGCATGGCAAACTAATGCAACATGCAGCAATAGAAACTTCTAGAAGTGTCCTCTCGCCCACCCTGTGCAGTGTGGGGTCACTAACCACCGGTGCCTAACCAGAACTCCAAATGTGGCTGATGAGGAGATGGAGTCCTCATTGTCTGTCATTTTATTTGAGTTTATTAAAATGAGTGTGTAGGCCAGATGGGACACTTGGACAGAACGGGGCCAACTTCAAAAACAAATTTTGACATTTACTTATTTGTGTGAGTGTAGCATGCCATGATATGTGCAAGGTCAAAAGACAACTTCGGGGAATCAGTTCTCTCCTGCCATGTGATTTCTAGGGGTCAAACACCAGTGTCAGGTTTGGCCCCGCTGGGCTGTCTCATGGCTCTGGGGCCAGCGTTTAAGGGCGTCGTGTAGACTTCACAGTCCACCTCTGCCTGTGAAGAGGTGCAAGAAAGATCTGCCCTTCCCCCACCCACCAACCCAGCTGAGGGCCCTGAATGTTGCAGAGTCCCCTCAGTCCCTGTGCTGCTCAAAATAAGGACTAGAGCCCCCTCAGGGCTGAGGACACAAGAGATGCATAGTAATGAGGTCATCCCCATGGGAGGAGGGAGGAGTGGGGAGTGAGCTGAGAGACAGGATAACCGAAAAGCAGCTGCTGTTCCCCCGGTGACCCATAGCACACACATCAAATCAGCAACAGCCACAGGAGTGTTGCAGTGATGGGGGAGGGATAAGGACAGCTCCACACAGCCCATCAAACAGCCTTGATGTGACACTGGAGGAAGGGGGACATTGAAGGAACAGTCAAGCAGCAGCAGGGGTGTGCCTGGTGCTCTTGGCTACAAAGAATGGAAAACTTAATTACACAGGACACGAGGAAATGACATTGTGTCACAGAAAGGGATCAGAGGGGGTGGGGTTGATTGACATGGTGCCATAGGCTTGCCCTTGCCTCCTTACTTTGCCATTTTTGGATTGTTGGCATTGCACTCTGACTGGCTTCCCTTGTGGTGTCAATATGGCTGCCACAGTTCCAGACATCACAGACACAAAACTGTAGAAGTTCCACCGAAGAGGCTGTATCTCTTCAGAAGAAAAGAAACCTTTCTTGCAAGTTCCAGCCAGCATCTCATGTCTCATAAGCTGGAGCTCTGTAAAGTATTTGTGTCTAAGTCTGTCACAGGCAAGGATGGATCTCTCTGATGATTATACCACATGTTTGTAGCTAAATAAGCACGTGGCTGGGGAGAAGGATGGAGGCCTAAGCAAAACCGTGTCCCCTTCCAGGATAAAGGGGATGCCTACCCTAACTGTCAAGGTCTATAAAGACCCTAAAACCACAAAAGTAGGTGTTTTTAAGATCTGAATGGAACCAGGAATAGCAGCAGGTCAGGTGGCAGATTGTGGGGTTGCCTCCAAGGCCATGAGAAGCCACCGGAGTGTTTGGGGGAATGAAGGAAGTTGTCCTAGTTCTCCCTGGCTGCCAGAGAACTAGGAGAGAGGGGGCATTGCAGTAGGAACCTGGTGCCCAGACAGCCACTGATTATCCCAGGGCAGGTGGCTATGCACTGAGGAGGGCCAGGCTTCCCAGGAATTTAAGCTGCCCTCCCCGCCCCCAGGATGTCCTTCCTTCCTGGCTTCCAAGCCAGGGTGGTATGTCCTCTCAGCATCAGTGTGTTTTCCCAGGTGCCATTCAGAGGCCATAAAGCAGGTGGCCTCCAGCAGCAGAGGCTTCCGGAGGCGGTAGCCTCATTTCTCAGGTGAGACCCAGGGCTTCTCAGTAGCCATATGCCTTCCCAAGTATTTTGAGATACAAGAGTTTAAAAACTAGAACTATAAAGTCTCAAGAGTTTGCCTGCAATAGAAGCCCCAAGTTGATCTCTAAATTCGCTTGTCAAAGGGAATGAAACAGGGTTCACCATTCCACCTCCTCTCCCACACAGCCTGAGAGATGGCAAGCTCCATCACATGCTCGCACGAGACTTGGTTCCAGGAGACATCGTGTCCCTGTCTATCGGAGACCGGATCCCAGCTGACATCCGACTCACTGAGGTGAGCTACATGTAACAGCTGGGCCCTGATGAGCAGGCAGGTGGAGTGATGGCACAAGACCCCCACCCACCCAAAGTTACCCAAGTGGTTTACCTTCTAAGAACAGAGGTGCCCCTGGCTGTGTGACTTCCATTTCTATACTTTGTTACCCACGGTCAACTGTGATCCAAAAATATTAGTAATTTTCTTCACTCTCGGGAGAGAGAAAGAAAAAACACAGAGGGAACATTTATTATAATCTTTTCTTATAGTTGGGTATCCTCTGGGGAGCTGGGAACATGGCCCCATGGCTGAGGGGGACAGCCAGCACAGGCCTAACACATCTTGGTCATGTGAAACTTTATAAATATGTGCTTGATTTCATGTGTGTACATGTGAGAGTGGAGGCTGGAGACCACCGTGGGTGTCATTTCTCAAGTACTGTCTACCTTGGTTTTTGAGACAGAAAGCAGCCTTGACTAGCTGAGCAGTTAGCCCCGGAACCTGTCTCTGTCTCCCTAGCTCTGGGTTTACCACCACAGCCTGATGCCAGTCACCACTTCCTCCTCCTCCTCCTCCTCCTCCACCTCCTCCTCCTCCTCCTCCTCCTCCACCTCCTCCTCCTCCTCCTCCTCCTCCTCTCCCTTTTCATCTTCTCTTTTTTCTTCTCCCTGCATGGGTCTGGGACTCAAATCAGTACTTTACCAACTAAACTATCTCCCAGTCCTGGTTATGTGGTTTATAGAGCAGATCACAATGGCAAAATCATCCAGGGCAGGACTAGGGGAGGCTATGGGCCACTTCATCGCAAGGAGAGAAACTGAGGCAGAGAACCAGTAAGTGCAGCCGAGGCCTAGTTTGGTGGCTCTGATGGGACTGACTCCTCCCACACCTGACGGGTTCAGAGTTACCATCTAGCAGAACCATACCCGGGGCTCTACAAGATGATTCTGCATTCTGGAGAAAGGACTGGGTGACAGAGTTACCTGAGTGACAAATTCTTCCAAGAACAGGCAAGTACTGTTTGGACTCTTAGTTAGCAGGTGACTGAGGGGTTTATCCACGGAGTCCTTAGGATGCTGTGCAGATGGTCAGGAACCCTGTTCTTGGGAGGCAGAGCCGTAGATCTGCTGCCCATAGCCTGGCTTTGAACTCAACACCTGAGATTCTAACAGTGTAACCCGAAGCTCTTTGCTTACCCTTGCTGTGCCTCAGTTTCCTTATATGTAACACTGGAGGTGATAACAGCCTGGGACGGGTAGAAGGATTAAATAACTTCATGGATACAGAACTGTGGAAACACTGACTAGGTCATAAGAAACTCTGTGTGTGTTTGAGGAGCAAGGGAACCTTGCATTTTATAGGTCCTGGTCCTGTGTCTCATTAAATAACTGGCATTTGTCCAGGCTGCACAGAGTTACTGTGCAAACAGGCAATCCACCACCTATAATGGCCCAGATACTCACAGGTGATTTACATTTCTGTAGCCCTGAGTAGACCACAGGCCTCTAGATCAGTGTAAGTACCTTCCCTGACTGCTACTGGCTCTTGAAGCCTCCTGTTCATTTCAGAAACACCCTGTGCATATTGACAGTGCAAGAGTGACACCATCATGCCCCACACATCTCCCTGTTGGCATTTTGCAATTCCCTGGGACAATCAATAGCTTTGTTTATTATCATCAGAAAACCTTTATCGCTGATTAAGCTCTAAGACTCAGGAGTGGCCAACCCTGACCACCGAGTTCCGGGAACAGGAGGCTCACAAGCCTGAGGACAGGACCCACAATAGCCTGTGCATGCATGGTTGCATGGGGTCACAGAGCCTTACCTTCTATTCCCCTGAGTGGGAACAAAGGGGAAAGTTCTTGGCTGTTCTTTCCCCAGCGGAGTCCACAGTGAAGACAATTGAATGGAGTTGTCAGAAATAAAAGGAAATCCTAGCACTGGGGACCAGCGTGCAGGGGAGTGGAGAGAACAGGAACACACATGTGGCCCAGAAAGTGGGGGAGCCTCCATGGGCCCCGGCCTCCAGCATAGCCACCTTGGTCATGCTGGGGCTATGTGGATCATATCCCCAGTTCTATCTTGGATCCACTCCTGTCTCCCCACCCCCAATCCCTGCTTCGTATCCCTGGAGATTGTGCCCTCCTCCTCACAACTATCTGCTCCTCCTTATTTGGATGCTCTGTCCAGGGCTCAACCAGTGTTTATCTATGATCACACACTGAAAACTGCATTCTAGACCACCAGAGCCATGTGCACAGTGGTGGCCCACCAGACTTGGCCACCTAGTAATGTTACAGCCAACTTGGCTTTGTCAGTACACTCAGTGATGTAGGCTCAAATTAAAGTTGCACGAAGACACATTTGTCAGACTGTTTTCCCAGAGTTAGCACATGTGGCTGTGTTTGTATGTAAGGAGCCTGTTGACACTGTGAGAGTCCCTCTTGTCACCACCTGGTGGCCTATAGGGCTATACCGCCTCCTGAGGTGGTACTCAGGGTGGCTTTGTACCTAGGTTGTGAGGCTCCTATCTGCTGTCCTTACCTCCTCCTTCTATGGATGTCTTTCTATGACCCTTCTGCCAATCAGGGACCAGCAGCTGTTGTAACAAGCCTGAGTCCAAGTACAGGCAGACCATGCTTCCTCCCAGCTCTAGAGACCAGTAGCTTCCCAGTGATGGGAGGTGTCAGTCCATGGCTCCTTCCAACCCTTATCCCTTCTCTGGTCATTTGTTCTCCCCAAGGATCTTTGGGTGCCATTGCCCCCACTCTCTGGAGTCAGTATAATCTCCCCATTTCAGAATGCCTGTCACACCTGCCAAGCTCCTCTGTTAAACTGGGTGATGCATCTGTGTGTTCTGAAGATGGGGATACAGGTGTCTTGGGAGGGTCCACACTCAAGGACCTTCTCTGAGTTCTTTCCATCCCAGGGCCCAGTGCATGCTAAGCCGACGTGTACCACACTGAGCTACACCTCCTGCCTTTCTTTGTTTTGCTTTTGAGACAGGTTTCACTAAGTTGTCCAGGCTAGCTTTGAACTTTTGGTCTTCTTGCCTCAGTCTCCCAAGTTCTGAATGGCAGACTGGCACTGCCAGGCCCAGCTGACCTAAGATGTCTATGTCCAGAGCAATGATGAGTGCCAAGGATACTACAAAGAACAGCCCTGACCCTGAGCTTGGGTTTAGAGCCCAGAGCAACAGGCCCTCCCCATCCTGAGGTCTCAGTTCAGGTCTGTCTTTCCTCCCAGCCTCCTCCTAGGGGCTTTCCTCCCTGCCCTGTGTCTTTAGCTGCTGAGCCATCTCACTGGCCCCATTTTTCCCCATTAACACCTCACAGAGGGAATTGAACCACAGCACATATAGAGTGGAGCCTTTGTTTATCTCACAGTGGTGAAAGGTGCTGGATGAGAAGTACCCAGGTTCTTGGAGAGGCAAAGATGTGTTTCAAGCAGCAGTTGAGCCATATTTTCTGGTGATTCTGACATTGCAAATACCATTAAACAAAGTTTGAGACTTGCGTGTGTTCCCGGAGGGGCCCAGAGCTCTTGACTTTTTTGATTTTGTGATTCTGAATCTGGCTTTCCAAGGCTCCTTCCCTACTTGACATCTTACAGGGCTTTTGGTATTGTTGCAAGCTTCCAAGTGTCTGAAGGGCAAGAGGGGATCTCAGAGTTTCACCTTTGCCCCCTAGGTCACAGACCTCCTGGTAGATGAGTCCAGCTTCACAGGAGAAGTGGAGCCATGCAGCAAAACAGACAGCCCATTGGTGGGCAGTGGGGATCTCAGCACCCTGAGCAATGTGGTCTTCATGGGGACACTGGTACAGTGCGGGAAGGGTAAGGTAAGCAGAGCCCCTGGGGGCCTAGTGCCCCGGGGTCCTGGCTGTGCAGCTCCTGGCCCTGTGTTACCTCCCTCTCTCCTCTACACAGGGAGTTGTGATCGGAACTGGGGAGCAGTCTCAGTTCGGAGAAGTCTTCAAGATGATGCAAGCGGAAGAGGTGAGGGCAGCAGGCAGAAGAGGTGAGGGCAATGGGCCACGGGTGGCCACTGTTTGCATCAGGGTTTTTCTAAGCCAGAGTAGGCCCTGCTCATCTACAGAAAGTCAGAGGCCACTCGAGATAGGAGCATGCTTTTTGTTTTTAATGTTAAAACTTAGCATGTGTGCTGGTGTGATAGTTCAATGGAAAGGGCACGGGCTGCCAAGCCTGATGGCTTGACTTTGATCCTTCACGTGGAAAAGAGAACAACTCCCAAAAATTGTCACCAGAACTCCATGTGTGCACCCCCCAAAAACAAACAAAATAGTTTCACCATGTTTATCAAATATATGTGCATGTGTGTCCCACTTAGTCATCACTCAGAACAGTCAAAAAAACCATGGGGTCCTAACACACCATTGTCCTTCCACACCTCCCCCCCCCCAGACACCTAAAACCCCACTGCAGAAGAGCATGGACAAGCTGGGCAAGCAGCTGACCATCTTTTCCTTTGGCATCATTGGTGAGTTGAGTCATTTCCTGCTGGGTTCTGAAGAGTAGGGCTGTGCTGGTGAAATTTCAGGAGCTCTGTATTGGGTACCATACATGACTGGGGAAACTGGGGTCCCTTCTTTGGGTTCCTGGTCTCATTAGTGAAAGAATTTTAAAATGAGCTTGGGAGCTTGAGGGCATTTTTATTAGAGTTTTTTGAGGGAAAAGAATAGGGCATCTTCCAGGGGGACTGATGGGCAGAGGAGACAGAAATCCATGCCTTTCTAGAGTTAGACCAGAATGTTCTGCCATGGAGGTCAGCAGGCAGCCATATGAAGAAAGAGGCAAGTTTAGTGATGGCTTCAGAGTGAGAAAGCCCAAAGCACCAGAGAAAATGTTTCAGCTTTGACTAGTACCCCCCCCCAAAAAAAGAAAGAGATAGAAAAGAATAAAAAGGTAGGACTCAGAAATGGGTTGCCTGGTGAGGCTCTGTGAAGCATTTCAGCAAGGGCAGATTTTCCAGGGAAGAAGGGTATGTTATATCCTTAAGGGATAATCATTCCTCCCACCTCCTTAGAATGACTTAAGGAGAATCAGCCTCCCTAGGGGTGGTCTCTAGCTGGTGATTGACAGACCCAGCTGGACTGCCTCTTAAGGGAGAAGACAATGGCCTACAGTGTCCTCAACTTTGGAGTAGAGCCTTTAAGATGTGGCCCATCCTCAGTGGCCTTTCCAGACCTGTAACTACAGTTAGTGGAGTGACTCAGATTAGGGAAGGCACCTGCTGAGAGCTCCAGGTTCATGTGTCCTGGCACAAAGCTTGTAGGAGAGATTTTCTTCCTATTCAGGAAGAGAAAGGCAATGGAGAAAAGAGGGGGTGAGGGGGTGAGGGGGCAAGGGGATGAGGGGATGAGGAAGGGGCCCAGACTGAAACCCTGCATCTTTCCATAATTCAATTACACAGAGTCCCTCTCTGGGAGATCTTGTACATCTCTGTGTTGTTACCTGCGGCCCTGACAGAGAGGGGTTTCCAGTCTTTCTAACTGGCCTAAGAGCTCTGGGGATCTGCCCTTCTCTGCCCCACAGTGCTGGAATTAAAAGCACAGGCAGCCATACCCAACTTTTTATGTGGGATGGGTGCCAGGGATTCGAACTCAGATTCTCATGCCTGCAGAACCTTGTCAGGGAGATGACAGGAACAGACTTGTCCACAAGATGAAATTGCTTTTTAAAGGTAATGGAGGCCAGATGTGGTGGCATACACCTTTAATCCCAGCACTCAGAGGTAGAGGTAGGCAGATCTCTGTGGGTTTGAGGCCATCCTGGCCTACATAGTGAGTTCCAAGCTAGTCAGGGCTACACAATGAGAACCTGTCTCAATAAATAGATAATGTTGGGCCTGGGAGTTAGCTAGTTGTGAAATGCTTGCCTTGTAAGCATGAAGACGTGAGTTCAAATACCAAAACTGTCATTTAAGAAGCCAGGTGTGGGCCATTGAGTTGGGTCAGTGCAAAAGATTCTTGCCACCAAACACAATGATGAGCCGAGTTCAATTCCTGGAACCCACAAGGTCAAAAGAGAATTGACTCCTGCAGGTTGTCCTCTGACTTCTACAGGTATGTCATGGCCTGTGCACCCAAACATACACATGTAGACATATACAGCACACACAAAGATATTTATAATTTTAAAACTTTTAAAAAAGATTTTATTTATTTATTATGTATTCAACATTCTGCTTCGATGTATATCTGCACACCAGAAGAGGGCACCAGATCTCATAACGAGATAGCTGTGAGCCACCATGTGGTTGCTGGGAATTGAACTCAGGACCTCTGGAAGAGCAGCCAGTGCTCTTAATCTCTGAGCCATCTCTACAGCCCCAATTCTAAAACTTTTAAAAGAATATTCAAAATAAAATCTGGGTGTGGTGGTATGTATTTGCAATCCCAGCACTGAGAAGGCAGAGACAGATGGATTCTTACGGCTCTCCTGGCAGCCAGCCAAGCAAAGCCGCATGAGAGTCTACATCTCAAAAACCAAGATAGACACCCCATGAAGAACTAGGCTGAGGCTGTCCTCTGGCCCCCATACAAACACCCATGCACTCTCATGAGCACCTGTACACACTCAAACAGTGATATGCACATGGATGTCCCAGGTGGAAGACTCACAGGTGACTGCCTTGTGGAAGTTTATTTCCCGAGTTTAAGTAGAGCTTAATCCCATGGCATGCCCACAGCAAGACATGTGATTACTGGGGAATTCTTCTTGGAAGAGCCCTAACCTCCAGTAGACTAGGGATGTCAGCCAAGTTCCCGGAACTCCTGGAGGCCCACAGGAGCTGTGGGGAACCTGGCAGAGGCCCTCTAGGAGATGATGGTTTCTGCTGATTCCCTTAGTTAGATTCTCTTGGCACAGCCAACTTCAAGCTATCCATGGTAGGTCACTGAAAGTGGCCGTGGGACAGATGCACATGGCTGACCCTTTCAAGGCCTTGCCAGCCAGCACCAGCATCTTCTGGCTGCAAGGGCAGATGAAGCTTTCAGAGGGGGCTCTGGACTCCCTGTCCAGCCCCTGTTTCATCTTGATTCATCTGGGTCCCAGCAAAGATTTCAGTAGAGGGCTGAGTTCTACAGCCAGTCACATCCTGTGAATTCTACACACATACATACACATGCATGCACATGCACATGTCAGCATAGGCCATTCCCAGCTTCCTGTGCCGTGCAGAGCAAAGCTGGCATCCTTTAGCAAGTCTTCTAAGTGCAGTCAACAAGCCACCTGTCCTCATCCTACTCACTGTTATTTATATCAATTGCAAGGACAGGGAGGTGTGGTCATGCTCCCATTTTACCGGTATAGAAACTGAGGCTGCCTTTGGCTACCCCCACCCCCCAGTACTTTTCTGCATTGCTGGAACATCTTGTGAACTTGTTCATGAGTCCCAGCAGTGGCTCAGGCCACTTCTGTCCCCATGCCTCCAGGGCCTAGCACAATCCCCAGTATTTAGTAAATATTTGATGATTGATTGGTGAAGGAGAAAGAAGAAATTTAATCTGGATGTAAGACATATTTGAGAAACAATGGTCCAGGGGTTGGGGTGCAGCTCTGTGGTAGAGAGCTTGCTGGTGTGCTGAGATTCCGGATGACATCCCAGCACTGGGAACACACACACACACACACACACACACACACACACACACACAAGAGAAAGCAACAGAGTCTTACCTGCCCCTGTAAAAGTAACAGGGAATATAAATGGGAAGAGTCCAGTGTGAACTGGTGGCCAGCGTCTTCACACTAAGCTTGGGAGTCTTTCCTAAAAGAATAAAATAGGATTCCCCTCCCCCCAGTAGAATGTATTTTCTTTGAACCAAAAAGGTGAGTGGTTGCAGATTCTTTTTATTTCTTTGTTTTTGTTCATTTGAAACAAGGTCCGTGCTGACCTGTAACTATAAGTCTTTACTCCATCCACCAGAGCCCCGCCGCCACATGGGAGCTTTCTGCCAGGCCGCTTGAGTCCTGCCTGCCACCACATTAAAGTCCCAAGTAACACACAGAGACTTATATTAGGCACAATGCTGCTGGCCAATCCCTAGGATTTCATTCTCCATCACTGACCTCAAACTCTTGCCATCCTCCTGTCTTAGTCTTCTGAGCACTGGGATTTAAGTAGGAGCCACTATGCCTATGTTTCCAGGTCAATTCCCTCTGAACTATTCCCTCCCCATTCTGGAAACCGGACCTAGGGCTTCATGCATGCTGGGCTATTCTTCATCTCCAACCCTGAAGCTTCAAGCTCCTGAGGTCACTACTTATTTCAGCATTTGAGGTCCCAGAAAGCCCTCAAGAAGTGGGCTAAAAGCATGATGAGGCAGTGGGGACACAGGGGCCCAGGCTGACATTGTCATGTCTCTTGCAGGTCTCCTGATGCTGGTTGGTTGGATACAAGGCAAGCCCCTTCTCAGCATGTTCACTATCGGGGTCAGGTGCGTTGTCAAGGCTCCCAGACCACTTTCTGAGCAGAGCAGGTGGTGGGCTACAGGGCATGCAGAGAGTGGGGAGGCACTTTGACCCCACCAAAGTGGATCTCCAGTAGCATGTGGGAGGGGTGCACTGTATAGACCCTGGGGTCCCCTTCTCATCCCTCTCTGCTGAGGATTTGAATCCATCCAGCCGAAGGCCTGGGCCACACAGCAGCCTGCCTAGAAAAGATTGTGCCTCCAGCAAAGCAGGGCATGACCTCTGTTACATAGTTTCTATTACTGTAACAAATGCCTGAGGAAAAGATGCAAGGAAGCCACAATGTATTTTGGCTCAAGGTTTCAGAGGGTTCTACCTGTGGTCACCTGGCTCCTGGCATGAGCAGGATATGTTGGCAGAAGGTATAGCAGGCCAGAGCTCCTCCCAGCAGCAGAAATCGGGGAGACATGTGGTGCTCCTGGTTCCCTCCTCTCCCCTTCACCTGGGCCCTTTGGAATGGCACTGCCCACACACAGGGTGAAACTTTCTGTTAGTCAATACTCTCACACATGTTCAGAGACATGATTTATTAATCTCCTGGCTATTTCTCCATCCAGTCAAGCTGATGGTCCAAACTGACTCTAATAGGGGCCAGAGTGTGGATCAGTGGTAGAGTACCTGGCATACACAAGGCCTTGGGTTCCATCTCTACATGGCAAAAGATCAACATAGCCCTTCACCTTGACTTGATTACATCTGCAAGGACCCAGTTCTTGGACAAGGTCAGCCATTCATACAGGGTTAGGACCTGATGAATCGATCAGTCTCTGTCTCTAAGACAGGATCTCATGCAGCCCAGGCTGGCTTTAAACTTCTTAAGATAACCAAAGATGGCCTTGAAGCCATCACCCTGCATGTCACTGGTTTAAGCCTTGGTGGGAATTGAACCCAGGATTTTGGGTGCCCAGGGTGGGAATCTGAATCTGGAACTGAACACGTGATCCTAGCTGGTCCTTGCTCAGTTCCTCAAGGTCACACGTGCTCTGCCTTACAGTGGGGAAACAGATTCAGGCTACAGAATCCAGGAGTGGAGGATAGATTCTGAACCATCCCTCACGGTGCCTCTAGGCAGGACAGGACTCTCCACTTTCTAAGGTTCAGTTCCCACCCTTAGCAGCAGGCAGCCATCGGCCCACAAACATTGACGGAGCATTGATGGGCTATCTGTTACATCATTAAAGCACTGACTGAGCCACAGCTGGGCCCTCACGGGGTTTTCAGCTGGTGGAGAAAGTGATTGTGAAGAATTTAAGTTGGGATAACAATGCAATTACAGTTTAGCATCCATGCTGTGTTGCTACCCCATGGGTAATGTTGATAGCCAGAAAGACTGAGAGGGAGATAGGAAGGGGTGTGGGACTGGGAAGGTAATCAGGGATGTTTTCTATGTGATATTGAACATAGGGAGTTAAGAAGGGCCAGGTAGGAGAACAGCAGGGGCTGTAGAGATGGCTCAGTGGTTAAGAGCACTGGCTGCTCTTCCAGAGGACCCGGGTTCAATTCCCAGCACCCACACAGCAGCTCACAACTGTCTGTAACTCTAATTCCAGAGAACCTGACATCTTCACACCAATACACATAAAATAAAGTTAAGTAAAAAAATTTAAAAAAAAATAGAGAATAGCAGGAAGGGAGCACCAAACAGGTATCAAGGCCCTGGGGTTGGATAGTGCATGGCAGATCAGTGCTACCAGGAGGTTACCACTGACACCTGACACTGTCTCTAACAAGTTCCCAGAAGTGCCGAGGTTCCTGTCCCAGGGCATACTCCGTGACTGGGATTAGAACCTTCCCCAGCCAGGTCTCAGCATAATCAGAAACAGAGGTGCAGGTCTTAACACCCCAACAGTGCCCTTTCTTGAAGCCATGGAGAGAAACAAAGGAGGGGGGACTCTGAGCCTTGAGAGGCTAAGACTGCAGAGCCCTCAGGAGTCAAGCTGCTGCAATATCACTTTCCACAGAAGGGTGTGCCTGACCGTGCAGAACTCGGGGTAGGGGACTTGCCTGGTATGCAAAAGGCTCTGGGTCTCATCCAAACCACTAAACAACAACAACAAAAAATTACTATTCTGTATCTTCTCCCACCTTATAAACCACCAAAAGTTTCAGGAGCCTGAAAAGACATCATGTTTGAAGGATAAAGAACAAAACCCCAGTGTCCACATTGATCCAACCCACATGGGTCATGGTGACCTGGACAAGAATCCATTCCTTTCCCTGGGACACTGAATAGGCAAAACCTTCGAGCTTTGTGATAAATTAGTCACCCCAACCACTGAAACGGATGATAGAAAGGGCAGACGAGCCAACAAGGAAACTTTCCAAAATAAATAAAAGTAGAGAATCATTCTTCTAAAAACCTCACCCCTGGCCCTGGTGGCCAGAGTGTTAGTAAAGATGATTCAAGAAACTCACTATTCCTGATCTGTCCTAATCTTTATTAGTTTGTGGATTAATTTTTTATTGCTATGAACATATCCAGGTGTGCACGCTACACCCATCCCTTGACATATGGGGGTGTCCCCCTCATAATCTAATGTCAATGTTTGCTTAGCTGGTCTGGCCAGCCCAGGCCATAAAACTAAGGAAGTTGGTTTCACTGTCACCATGGTAACGCCCCCCCACCCTACCCTCTAAGCTCCTTGATCAAATTCAGTAATCTTGGTTTATATAACTTGTCTCTGAATAGCCCATTGTCTCCGGGTTAAAGGTCATTATTCATATTCTCTCTCTCCTTTTCAGTTTTGTGTTTTTTAAGACCAGGGTCTGTCAGTGTTGCTTAGGCTGGCCCCGCACTCGTGATCCTTCTGACTCTACCTCCTGAGAGCTGGGATTGCAGGTGTGAGCCTCCATGCCTGTCCAGGAGGCAGCTTATACCAGTGTGATCAGAAACCCTATACTACAACACACATAACACTATTTTTTTTTTGTTTTGTGGGGATGCACAGTATACATATGGAGGTCAGGGGACAGGAGTCAATGCTCTCCTTCCACCACGTGGGTTCCCGGGGAAGGAACTCAGGTCTTTGTCAGATCTTGGTGGCAAATATCTTTATCACCTAAACCATTTCACCAACCTCTCTTTCCTTTCTCAGTGGGACACCAAATAGTGACAGCCTTCACTGGTACTCTATCGTGAAGGTGTGCTCGGGGCTGGGGGCTCACTCTGCTTTGGTTTCTTTGGTCTCCACAGGACAAATAGCTAAACCATTGGACAGAGACAACTGAAATTCAAGGGACCCAGAAAAGAGTTTTCATGCCAAAATCTGCCACTTTCTTTCCTTTTCTTTTTTCTAATCCTCTCATATATTACATCCCAACCTCAGTTTCCCCCTCCCTGTGGTTCCCTGACTCTGGAATTGCCAAGTGCTTCCCAAGAAGTTCTGTCTCTAATAAATGAGAATGGCTGAAGTGTAAAAGGACATACATAACAGCACCAGTTCACACTAAGATGTGACTGCCTGAGTGGAGAGGTCCTGTCTCAAGCTGGGGATGTAGTTTACCAGGGAAGGGACCAGGGCAGAAATAATGAAGGAGGCAAGTGCATTGTGGGATTAGAAATTGAATAGAATGTCCACGGGGGCAAAGACGAGCTTCGCTAGAAGAAAGCATCATCACTGGTCTCAGTTGAGCTGCGCGTCACCCTTTGGTTTGACTTTTCTACTCAGCCTGGCTGTGGCAGCCATTCCAGAGGGGCTGCCCATCGTTGTCATGGTGACGCTGGTCCTGGGGGTGCTTCGGATGGCTAAGAAGCGGGTCATTGTGAAGAAGCTGCCCATTGTGGAGACTCTTGGTGAGGGTTCCCCCGCTCCAATGCAAACTGAGTCAGGTGGAAGTGTGGGGCTGGGATTGCTCACATGCAGAGTGTTCCATGAACCTCAGGCTTGGTTGGTGACAACTCATCTCTCTAAACCTATTCCCATGGTACCAGGCTGCTGTAATGTCATCTGCTCTGACAAGACAGGCACTCTGACAGCCAATGAAATGACAGCGACCCAGCTCGTCACATCTGATGGGTTCCATGCTGAGGTGAGCCTCGTGCTATCTCACAAGGCAGGAGACAAAGAGGTATCCTGCCAGCCCTCTCCTGCCCAGAGAGATCACACAGACTCTCCTAGAATAGTGAGGAAGAAATAAATACCTTGGTGGTCTGTCTAAGAAAGTACTGTGACCAATTGAAGATGGACTCTTTGATTTTTTAATTATCAAATTTTATTTTCTATATTTTTTTCAGGATGGAACCAAGGGTCTCCTCCACGCTAAACAGGCACTGTACTACTAAGTCACACTCCCAACCCCTCATTAACATCCCACTCTGCTTTTGTGGTTCTGGGGATTGCCTGGCATGCTGGGTAAACACTCTACCACTGAGCTGTCTTCCCCGGCTCAAACTTCACTTTCATTTGGAGACACAGTATCCAAGTTGACTTTGAATTTGAGTTCTGCTTGCCTTGGTCTCTCTAGTAGCTATGATTACAGACTTGGGCCACTAGGTCCTGCTGCTTTGGGTTTTTTTGAAGCAGGGTCTTACTCTGTAGCCTGGGTTGGGCTGGAACTCATTATGTAGCCCAGGCTGTCCTGAAAATTGTGGTAAATCTTGTCTCAGCTTCCCACATGCTGGGATTTCCAGGCATGAGTCACCACACCCAGCTCATTACAAAATTTAAAAGCTACAGAAATACTTGTCACCACCCACGACAAACTGCCCCCGAGTCTCTGTTTGTGCTTCTCTGTCTCTCACATGGCTTAGTTGCATGCTCACTTAACCAGCAATTTTGTGTCTGGATATTTTTCCACAGAGCTTCCTAGAGTAAGGGGTGAGCAAATGGAGGCCTTCTATTGTCAATAATGTTTTTTTTAATTTTTAAGGATTATTTTTTGAGAGAAATTTGTTTATGTGTATATCTACATGCCTGTGTGCTGGTATAGGCGCATAGTTACAGAGACCTTGGAGGCCAGAAGAGGGCAATGGAGCCCCTGAAACTGTCATTTACAAGCAGTTTGGAGCCATCTAGTGGTTGTGCTGGGAACTGAACTTGGGGTCCCTTACAAGATCAGTATGCACTTTTAACCATGGAGCCACCTCCCTGGCCCCTCAATACCATGTTCTTGGCACACTGTCATGCCCATCTGTAAACATTCCATGGCTCATTGCTTTTCAGCCCCAGGCTGCACTATCTTGATTGACAGGTTTATGAGCTGCAGAGGCTTGGATATTTCCTCTTGGCTTAGGTGCAGCTTCTCCCAAGAGTCTCCGGTTGCACCTTAGCTTGTGCAGCCACGGCCTCCACCAGGAGCGCTCTGCTCGCTCGCAGCAGTTTGTCATGGTGCATGCAGTCTCTACTGTCAGGGAGGGTCCTGGGCAGCAGACAGTCTGCGGGGTCATCCTCATGTGTAGACTCATGGCTTTGGGGTGGACCCTAGGAGAGGGAATGGGTACCGTCCGGAGTTTGAGGGTTGGCTCTGGATAACACCCTCCATCTGCTTCCAGGTCAGTGGAGTTGGGTACAGCGGCGAAGGGACTGTGTACCTCCTCCCATCCAAGGAAGTAATCAAGGGATTCAGCAATGTTTCGGTGGGGAAGCTGGTGGAGGTGAGTGCTGGGTTGCCATAGCAGCACAGTGTGCAGCCTGCCTTGCACGAAGGAGGTGATATTAGGCTGTCACAGCTGCAGACATCACCCCCCCCAACTGGATGGGAAGAAGGAGGGGGAGGGAAGGCGGAGCCTGACTGAGCCTGTGGGTACGCTGTCCCTACTGGCATTGCCACGTCAGGTGTGGTTCTCCTCCCACATAAGTCATCTGCCCGCCCCCCCGCATGGCAATCGGCCCCCAGGAGTCAGGGCCTCCTCCAGAGCAGTCCCTCCCCCAGGTGGGCCCTGCTCTGCTGCCTCCCCTCCCCTAAGCCCCCTCAGAAGCAAACTCAGAGAAGACACTGGAGGGCTGAGCTCAGCTCCAGTGTGGCAGGCAAGCGGCAGTCGCCCACGCTCTGCCAAGTTTCTTGATTTTTCTCTGAGCTAGCTATGTATGCAGAACACTCCCATAAAGCCTGTGGCTTAAGGGATGCCTGCTTTTCCTCCCACGCAGCCACTGCCGCTCTCCAGCCCCAGAGCAGTGTCACCCCAAGTGGAGACACACTGGCTGTCACTGCTACCCCGCCACTCTACCTCTAGTCCTCTGCACCCAGGGCTCCCCTGCAACAGTTTCTGGAACCAGTACTCTTCCTAAGCCATTTCCCAGCCTGGTGGTACATGCCTGGCATCCCAGCTGTTCAGGAGGATGGCAAGTTCAAGGCCAGTCTAGGCAATTTAGCAAGCCCTGTCTCAAAATAAACAACCAAAGACAAGTCTGGGGTGCAGTTCAGTGGTAGAAGGCTTGCCTCGCGTGTGAACGGCTTGGTTCAACACCTGAAGATGGGGGCGGGGATGACACACATGTGTTTCTAAGACACCGACTTATTTGAAGGAAACTCTTGTTGCCTGGCCCAGCTCAAAGGCCACGCCTACAGTGTCCAACATTTCCATGGTGTGGGTGAGCCCAGGGCCCAGGTGCTGGTTCCCAGTACTGACTGCAGCTATTCAACTCCCCCCCCCCCTTTCAGGCAGGTTGCATCGCCAACAATGCTATCATTAGGAAGAAGACTGTAATGACAGGGGTGGGGGGACCCCGGGCCCCAGGGGGGGGTTCCCAGTCCTGCCTGCAGCTTTTCACCCCCCCCCCCCCCTTTCAGGCAGGTTGCATCGCCAACAATGCTATCATTAGGAAGAAGACTGTAATGGGGCAGCCCACAGAAGGGGCCTTGATGGTGCTGGCCATGAAGGTAAGGGGGGTCAGAAGAGGACACCTCTGTGACTCTCTATTTGTTCCCTTCAGACAGGTTCTCTCATTGAACCTAAGCCAGGCTGGCAGCCAGCAGACCCCAGCCACCTTCCTGTCACCTACCCTGTCCTCCAACAGCACTGAGGGTACAGGTACAGGCACACATAAGCACTTGCTTTGGTTCTAAAAGGAGGAATGTCCCTCTCAGGAGACACAGCAAACATCCCATTGAACTGGAAGTTCAGACCACCTAAGTTCATCTAGCAAAATTACAGCTATGAAGTAGCACCAAAAATAGTTTTATGGTTGGGGGACAACACAGCATGAGGAACTGTATGAAAGGGCTGCAGCATTAGGAAGGTTGAGGACCACTGGCCTAGAGCCTGGCTTGGGATGGCTCCCTGAAAACATCCTGTCTTACACCCTAGATGAACTTAGGTGGTGCCAAAGATTCCTATGTGCGGAGGAAAGAGATTCCCTTCAGCTCAGAGCAGAAGTGGATGGCAGTGAGGTGCAGCCCGAAGAACGAGGTGAGCTTGGCCTTTGCTGAGACAGAGTCTTACTGTGGGGCCCAGGCTGGCTTGGGAGCCTCCTGCCTCTGCAAGGAGAGCTGGGATGGCAGGAGCACAGCATGGCTGTGATGTCCTCCTTCCCTTGCCAAAACAAGGCACAAACACCTGGGGGAAGAAGATGGTATGCCCAGTGCCTTCCAAGAGCATCCAAACAGTGAAGTGACAGCCATGAACCTGGCATTGTGATCCGTGGTGCTCACAGTGGGGACCCTGACTCAGCCACACCTGTGTCCATGGGGATTAGCAATGTAGAGTCTCAGGCTCCTGTGAACCTGCATTGGAAAGTCCAGGTGTGGCCCCAGGGACCTGTTTTGGGGATTCTGGTATAGGCTCAAGTGTGGGGCAGTTGTCTATACAGAAGGCAGCACCCAGTGACAGCAGATTTTTTTTTCCTTTTCTTTTCCAAGGATGGGGAAGACATTTACTTCATGAAGGGGGCCTTTGAGGAAGTGATCCATCACTGTAGCATGTATAACAATGGGGGCATCCCCCTGCCTCTGACACCCCAACAGAAGTCCTACTGGCTGCAGGAAGAGAAGAAGATGGGATCACTTGGCCTGCGGGGTTGGTGTCAGGGCTCCTTCCCCTGCCCACTGGGGCCTTGAGTTTGCCTGTGGTTTTGCTGGGATGCACAAGATCAGGGTCCTGGGTGAATCTGCCACCAGCCAGAATGCAGGCAGGGGTGAGCTGACAGCAACTCCCAATGTGAAACCTCACCCCTAGCCACCAATGACACCTGCTAATCCAGGTGTGCCTTGTGCATGGGCAGGGTGTTGCTTGCCAAGTTCTCTAGGGCATATGAGGTTTATGCCATGCACACTAATTTCAGGTGCTATTTCACTCCCCGCCTTACACCACAGAAACCTAGAACACTTTGTTTCGTGGCATATGCCGTTTTCTCAGCTGCAGGGTCAGTGTCTTCCCCAACAGGCTGATGTTAAAACCCTGTGTCATTGGCTGCCCTGTCCCTTATTGGAGAAAACACCTTATAACACTCTGGACTATTTGTATTCCATGGGGGCAGGGCTAGAAGAGGCACTGGGCTCACGCTATCCATGACCTCAACCTGCCTACTCTGGGGACAGATGAGTGTGCATTGAGCCCATGGCAGGTGAAGCTGTCCCAGATGTCTGTCTGCCTCCTTCCAGGGGCTTCAGCTGGACAATCAGCCTTATGTCCCCTGAGCTATTTTTCACACCTTTCCCTCCCTATCCAGTGTACCCGTGCTGCCTTGGGGGTCACAATAGGGCTTACTAGGACTAAAGATGGTCACCAGCCCCCAGAAACCTTTCCTGTGTCTCTCACAGTGCTGGCCCTGGCGTCTGGGCCCCAGCTGGGGAGACTGACATTCCTGGGTCTTGTGGGCATCATCGACCCCCCGAGGGCTGGCGTAAAGGAAGCAGTCCAGGTGCTCTCCGAGTCTGGTGTGTCAGTGAAGATGGTGACAGGAGATGCTCTAGAGACCGCCTTGGCCATAGGTAACCAGGGTGAGGGGCCGGAAGTGAAGGGGGCCTCGTGCCCAGATGAAAGGGCTCTGAGCTGTGTAGACCAGTGCTCCCTACCCCAGCTCATGTCCAATATGGGGGAAAGTTCACATGTAAACTGAGGACCTACTATGTGTTTAGGGGCTTTTCAACTGTGATCTCGCTGCACAAGTGGCATCCCACACCATGTAGTTCCAGTCTGGCTTTGTCCATTGGCTCAGTATCTTTGACATAAAGCAACTCTGCTGCTCAAGTCTCTTCATCAGCAGTGGGCTGACAGGTGGCCTCTCCTCCTCAAATCATTCCCGTTAAGAGCTGTTATGTTGGGTTTGCCCAACTCAGCCCCATTCTGTAAGGTCACAGGCCAACATATCAGAGTCATCATGTGAGATGCCCATGACATTTCCCAGAAGTGTGGCCTCAGGGAAGCCAATTTTTGTGTAGTTTCCTCATCCTGGGCAAATGCATGTTCAGTGTGGTTATCAGACACCTACTGAAATGGGCTAAAGTCAGGTGTCACACGATGGGTGGGACAGGACCACAGTTCGGGTCCTGGAGGTGCTCCTCAGCCCTAACTCCTCTCCCAAAGGAAGAACCATCGGCCTGGGCAACGAGAAGATGAAAGCCATGTCAGGGGAGGAGGTGGAAGGAATGGAGCAGGACGCACTGGCTGCCCAAGTGAGGCAGGTGGGTTCTCCTGGGGGCAGACAGGGCAGGGACAGAGAAGTCCTCCAGCTCCTATGTCTACTGATGACTCTTTGACTCCCTGTGCCAGGTGTCTATATTCTTCAGGACCAGCCCAAAGCACAAGGTTAAAATCATAAAGGTAACTAAATGACAGGGGCCATCCAGGGTGGGGCCATCCAGGGTAGCAGGCGCTCTCTGTTGGCCAAATGACAGGGATGGTCCAGGAGGGCAGATTGCTAAGCTGGCCTTGGTCATAGCTTTCTTTTCTAGGTTCTAAATAGCTGCATGCATTCCCATGTATCCATCCCCGTTTGCTGGCCAGAATGCTATCACATGTTTAGCTGCAAAGGATGCTGGGAAATGCCATCTCTAGCGGGATGGGCATGTCACAGTTAAAACAGGGGTGGGTCCTCTTATGGGGTTGTGAGGAGGTTGGGAACCACTGGCTGTGGACACTGGTTGCCCTAGGAATGAGATGATGTAAAGAGAAAATATTCAGGTGCCAACACGGAGCTGCCATGGTTCCTCCTGGTCAACCAGAAGCCTGTGAGTTTCAGAGTTTTCCCCATGTCTGTACCTGGCAGTTCACTGAGATGTTTGGTGGCCATGGTTTGTTCTTGGGGGCTGTTTGAGGAGGTTCTGGGGTGTTTAGTTTTTAGTGATGAAGAATAAATGCCAACCACATATGGTGGCTCACAACTGTCACTCCAGTACTCATGATGCTGAGGCAGGAAGATCATGAACTCCAGGACAGGCTGATCTACACAGAAAGATCCTGATCATGAGAGAAACAGAGAGAGAGAGAGAGAGAGAGAGAGAGAGAGAGAGAGAGAGAGAACAAAGTTTGTACATATGAATATGGGTGCATACAGCCCACAGTCCATGTGTGGAGGTCAGGTGACAACCTGTGGGAATCAGTTCTCTATTAACCATGTGACTGTATGACTCAGATCATCGAGATTGGTGGCCAGCTCCTTTACCTGTTGAGACATCTTGCCAGCCCAGAGATATGGCTTCATTTACTGCTTACTAACAGCAACTTTTACAAGCCACATCTGAGGTCCTAGATGGGGTGTCACAACAGCCTGTGAGGCCAGGATGGTGGCTGCCACTTGCTTTGCAGATGGAGAAACTGAAGTTGAGTAGTTCAGGGCCATGCCCACTCTCACAGCCACTGCGGTAGAGCTACAGTGACTAGGTTAGCTGACTGCAGCATCCAGCGGGTGGGTGGCTACTGCCCCCATGGTACACCAAGCACGGTCTAAGAGGGTCCTCAGGCTGGGGTCCCCCATCACCTGCTCTTCCCGAAGGCATTGCAGGAGTCAGGGGCAATTGTGGCCATGACGGGGGACGGTGTGAATGACTCAGTTGCCCTGAAGTGTGCGGACATCGGGATCGCCATGGGCCAGACAGGGACGGATGTCAGCAAAGAGGCCGCCAACATGATTCTGGTGGACGACGACTTCTCAGCCATTATGTGAGCTGCTATAACCAGCATCCCCTGGATGTACTGTGGTAGATATGAGGGGCCTTTCTTGGGTTCAGGGAACTCTCTGGAGAGAACTGTATCCTAAGCTCATCACTGTGATGATGAGCCCACTCCAAATGTATGGAGCTTCTCAAAACAGGGTCCTAGGGCCATCCTGTCATTAGTCATTGTGGGATACAAAGAAAATCTAGAGCCATTGACTAGCCAGCAACAAGAGATGGGTATTAAAAATCATGTTTGTGGGATGGAGGAATGGCTCAGTCAACACAGTGTTTGGCCTGCGGGCATGGCGAACCAAGTTTGATGCTTTTCATGTAAAAATGCAGGCAGGGTGGTACAGGCTGCTGATCCTGCTGCGTGGAAGAGACAGCAGACCCAGGGTTTGACAGCCAGATAGCCTCGCCTGATGGGTGAGCTCCAGGCCAGTGAGAGATCTTGTGTCAAAGGAGGAGGACAGCCTTCCTGGGGATGATACCCAGGTTGTCCTCTGGCCCCCACAGGTGCACACCTGCACAAATAAGTCACGGTTGGAGGCCCAACAAGGAGGCATGTACCTGTGATTCCTGAATTCAGGCGGCTGAGGCAGGAGAACTAAAGTTGCCTTTCTCTGGATTTAAGTTATAATTAAGGCTAATCTTAATTATACTTAGGGTTCAGAAGAACTTTAGGAAGAGTGTTTTTAACAGCAGAGGCACCAGCATAACACCATTTCTCTGCCATTAAAAATACTCTTCCAAGAATGATTGAGAGAGGAGAGGAGAGAGTGTCACGGACATAGCCATAGGAGTGTGCCTGTAACATTGTCACTATGAGGGGCAGAGACAGGAGGATCCCTGGGACTTGCTGACTGCCAGCTTTGCTCCAGGCTCTGTGAAACACTGACTCAAACAAGTAAGTCGGAGAGGCAGTAGCACATCCAACATGTTCTTATGGCCTCCACACACATGTTCTGACACATAAAAACTGCACAAGCACATACACACAACAGACAGATGGACAGTGATGTCTTGCTCTGCCTCCAGTGTGTGAAGCTTGGGTTTCTCTCACTGTTGTGTGCATCCACTGCAGGTGGATCATAGTTGGGCATTCTGAGCACAGGTGGGGCCCTGGGGCTCCAGCTGAGAAGGTTCACACACAGGATTTGCATAGAGGGGCTGACATCACCTCCCTCCAGTGTATCCCAGGTGTTCCAGCAAGGGTCACCTGCACTGTTGCAGGTGGGCTGACCTGCACCGTGTGGCTAAGCCTCTGACCCCCACTCCCAAGACCTTTCTGCCCACAAACACTCTCCCTTCCCTTTCAGGAGTGCGGTGGAGGAAGGCAAAGGCATCTTCTACAACATCAAGAACTTTGTCCGCTTCCAGCTAAGCACGTAAGCAGGGGCAGACGTTCCTCTGTAGCCAGCAGGCGGGCAGGCGTCTCATCCCGTGAGGGGAATTGATGGGCTGTCTGTCGCCTGTGCCCTGCAGGAGCATCGCTGCCCTGAGCCTCATCACCCTGTCCACGGTGTGCAACCTGCCAAGCCCCCTCAATGCCATGCAGATCCTGTGGGTTAACATTATCATGGATGGGCCGCCAGCACAGAGGTGAGGCCGCAAGCTCAAGGCAGGACCACGGGAGCTCCCCCTCAGAAAGGAATCGCAGGGCTACTCAAGTGGGGGCAGCTTCCTGGGAGGGGGCAGAATGGAATGCAGAGGTAGAGCTTTGTGCTCCCTCGGTTCCAGTGCACTCCTGGAGCCCATGGCTCAGGTCCCTGCCTCCAAGAAGTCCTCCCTGATCAATCTAACGGTGGTGGCTTCATCCCTGGGACTTTGCCCATGCTTTTCCCTGAAAGGAAGAATATCATTGTTTGGGTTGACTGGATCCATCCCCACTTTAGCTGGTTACTGTGGACTTGATGCCCCTGGACCTTTAGGATGGTGCTTGCATGACATAGATGCTCATGGCTTCATTGATGGCACAGGAGACCTGTGTGCCCAGCAGCCTTGGCTGCTTGCACAGGGAGGTATCATTCCAAAGGGAGCCAATGTTACTGTTAACATCATCTGCTGTGGTACATAGAGAGGGAAGCCCAGAGTTCAGCAAGGGCTGCAGCTGCCACAAGGCCTCCTGTGTGTGTGAGAGACAGCAGGTGAGGTAGCTCCCAGGTGTTAATTTTTGCTTAAATTAGAAATAAAGAAGAAAGACAGATGAGACATAAGACTAAGAGACATATTAACCAATTTATTATAGGCCTGGCAGAGTAGGGAGACTAAGAAGAGAAACAGGGTAAATGGCTGACCGCCATGGCCAGTCGCCAGAGAGGAGAGGAGAAGAGAGAGAGAGAGAGAGAGAGAGAGAAGCAGAAGCAGACAGAGAAGAGTATAGAGTATATAGAGAGAGTAAATGGGCAGGGATCTGTCTTTTAAAGTGGTCCTCTGCACCTGCATGCAGACTTAGTTCCCATGGAATCCTGGGCTGACCAGGGTACTGCCTGTTCCACCAGGTAATAGGGGTAGGCCAGCATAATGCCTGAACCTTTCACCAGGTCTCTACCCCATGTGCAATAGGGCTCTCCTGATGTTCTCAAGTGGCAAGTGCTGAGTGTCTGACACAGTGGACCCTGGAAGGAATAGCTGGGTCCTGTTCCTCCAGGCCCCACTAAGGACCCCTCATGGTAGTGGGAACTGCATGGGGGTTAGAAGGCCACGCATGGGGAAGGCTGAAGTGCATTGCTGGCCCTTGCTAGTGCTCTGGCCTCTCTGCATCTAGATGCTTGGAGACAGATGGCTAGAGAGCTGTGGCTATCTGTGGAGTAGTCACTGGGGGACAAGAGCAGCCCCACTCACAGGTGATGATCCGGAGGGCAAAGCTGAGGCAGGGGTCTCGGGTGTCCTTTTTAAATTTTTGGCTTTTTGAGGCAGGCTCTCACTCTGTCATTCAAGCTAGCTGGGGGATTTACTATGTAATCTAGGCTGGCCTTGAACTCATCCTCTGTCTCAGCCTCTGGAAAGCTGGGATTACAGGTGTGTGCCACCTGGCCCAGCTTCCAAGAAACCTTTGCTATTTCTAAGTGTCATTTGTCTTGTTCTGCACAGCCTGGGGGTAGAGCCTGTGGACAGAGATGCCCTGCGGAGGCCTCCACGGAGCATCAGGGACACCATCCTGAACAGAGCCCTGATCCTGAAGGTCCTCCTGTCAGCTGCTGTCATCATAGGAGGGACCCTCTTTATCTTCTGGAGAGAGGTAAGCAAGGCAGGCATTGCCTCACTCATGAACAGTTGGGATACCTATGCAGGACTGGGGGCTCTCCCCCACACACACAGAGCCAGTTTCTAGGGTACAGCTTAGGGGCTGGGCTGACCAGCAATCCTCAGGCAGCACCCACAGGCCACCCCTAGCACACTGACTTTACTCCTCAGCTCTAAGGCAGGGAGTCCTCTCCCCTCTCTGCCATGAGTCTGCCTACGTACTGCATTCCAGATTCCAGAGAATGGGACCAGCACCCCGCGCACCACCACCATGGCCTTCACCTGCTTCGTGTTTTTTGACCTCTTCAATGCCCTAAGCTGCCGCTCTCAGGTGAGCAGAGCTGACCCTGCCCCAAGCTCCACCCCTGCAAACACACAACAGGGGCCCCTGTGGATGGGGACACTGTTCCACTGCCTCTCACACTCTTGGCAAAGTTTTGGGGAGGGTGTTGGGGGACCAGATTTCATGTCCCCAATGGCTCCAACAAGCCTCAGCACTTGCCATTCATTCTGTCCAGGTACCAATTTGGGGGGACACAGACTGCACAGTGTCCCTATCCCCACACGTCCTTTCATGCCTCTTCTCCCCACAGACCAAGCTGATATTTGAGATTGGCTTTTTCCGGAACCGCATGTTCCTTTACTCAGTCCTTGGGTCCCTTCTGGGGCAGCTGGCCGTGATCTATGCCCCGCCCCTGCAGAAGGTCTTCCAGACAGAAAACCTGAGAGCTCTCGGTGAGTGATGGGGATGAGTGATAGGAACAGGAAGTCTCTCACCTGAGATTGCTGCCAACTGGGGTGGAGCTGTGGGGGGGCCAGAGTGGGGGCTTTCAGAGCCATTCTCCAAAGACAGTTTGGTCTGCAGCATCTGCTCTATGTCACATAGTGCAGGAAGGTGAAACGCAGACACAGGGAACACAAATGAAGCCCAGAAAGAAACCCCTCTGCTGAAAGCAGGGCCTGGGGTTAGGACTGGGTGGCAGCATCCTGAACCTCAGGACACACACAGTCTGGAGGTTGACAGGTGTTCATCTGAGCTGGCCATCAGACAGTTCTTGGTGAAAGGGATTTAATTGAGCAGTCTGGGATACCCAAAGGCCACTGTGTACATACCCTGCTCTGGAGCTCAGGATGCTCTGGCAGCTGAAGAGAAGTGGGGACAGGAAGCAAACAGTCCCTATTCCTTCAGGGACAGGCCCTGCAGAGGAACTCACCCAAGCACAGACAGCAGTTGCAGGTCCCCTGCCTTTCCTTCTGTCACCCCCACCCAGGAATGGAGGACAGACGGTCAGCTCCCAGATCCAGTACAGAGCAGGCCATTGCTCCAACACAGCTCATTACAGACCCCACGTGGTCACCTGGGTGTGAGCATATGCAGCTAGAGCACTTGAGATACAGCTGGGATGGGCACCCTTCCCTGTAATCTAAAATCACTGCAGGGCCCCCTGAAGTGCCCTATGGGAGCAAGCAAAGAAAAGGAACACAGGAGCTGGGGAGTCCAGACAGGTGGGGGCCCCAGTCTGATCCTCAGAATGCATGCACCAGTAATGCCAGTGCTGGTGAGGGGGGGCAGAGACAGGAGGACCTTGGGGCTCTATGGCCAGCTAGCCTAGCTGAAAATGGTGAGCTCCAGATTCAGTGTGAGAAATGCCTCTAAAAAAGGATGGAGACGAGGGGACATCCAATGTCAACCCCTGACCTCTGCCTGCATGTTCCTGCAAGCCTGCACAAAAAGAAAACCCTTGGGCTAGGGCTGTAGCTCTGTTGGTAGAGTACTTGCTTGGCTCACACAAAGCCCCTGGACTCCTTCCCCAGTACCAAATAACCTTGGCATGCCTGTAATCCCAGCACTGGCACTGGAGAGGTCAGCCAGGAGGACTGGGAGTACAAAGGCACTCTAGCTGCATATAGCAAGTTTGAGGCTAACCTGAACTACCTGAGACCCCATCTCAGAAAGACAGGTGCCCCCCCCCACCCAC